CGTGGGCGGCTCAGCGGTGCACCTCCGCGGAGCGGGACGCCGGGGCCTGATCCGCGCCCGCGCTCCCCGGCCCCTCCGCCACCCCGCCCCGCCCCGCCCCGCCCCGCCCCGCCCCCGCCCCGCCCCGCCCATGGGCGGTGCGGAGACGCGCGGGAGGTGCGCACGCACGCCCATAGCCACGCACGCGTGGACGCACACGCCTCGGCAGGCACGCGCCCCTGAGCACGTAGCCATGCACGCGCACCCACATCTGCACACACACCCGTGCAAACACACCCCCTGCACGCACACCCGTGCACACACCCACCCCTGCACACACCCCATGCACATGCACACCCCTGCACACACACCCCTGCACACGCACTCACACCTGCACACACATCTGTGCACACGCACACCCCACATGCACACCCAAGCCCCTGCACACACACACCCCCGCACACGCACCCACACCTGCACACACACCCGTGCAAACACACCCCCTGCACGCACACCCATGCATGCACACACACCCGTGCACACACGCCCCTGCACACACACACACCCCTGCACAGACACCTGTGCACACGCACTCCCCACATGCACACCCAGGCCCCTTTGCACACACCCATGCACACCTCCCTGCACACAGACCTGTGCACACACATGCATGAACACACGTGCACACCCACGTGTGCACATACCCCTGCACACACATGTGCACACACACGTGCACACACCCCCCCGCATGCACACCCCACACACACACCTGTGCACACCCCCTGCACACACACCAATGCACACACACCCATGCACACACACACACCTTGCACACTTGCCCCTACACACGCACCCCCCTGCATGCACACCCATGCATACACACACACCCCTGCACAGCCACCTGCGAGCACACGCACCCCCTCCTGCACACGTACATGTGCACACACACAGCCTTGCACATACCCCCATGCACACACACACCCCCTAGCACACACACATGCGTGCACACACACACACCCTGCATGCACACCTGTGCTCACACATGCACCGTTGTATGCACAGCTGTGCTTACACACCCCCCTCCCGCACACCCACAGGTGCCTCCTGGGGCAGGGGATGCCCCAGCCCCTGGCCACCTTGGTGGCCTCTGCCCATCTCACCCCACTCTGCCCTTGGCGCTCCTCCTCCTCCCCGAAATGCACGAGGCTCCTGGCAGCCCCTTGCTCCTCTCTCAGCCCCAGCCCCGACCTCATCCTCCCAGTGAGGGACGCAAGTGCTGGAGGGCTAAGGAGGAGGTGAGCACAGCAGCACAAGGACCCCTGTGCAGAGAGAAAGGCCAGTGTGGAGTATTGGCCACAGTGACAGCAGCCTCTTGGGATGAGACCAAAGAAGTGACTGGTGCAATATATGAACAGGTCTAAGGGACATCACCAAGCTTTATAGCGGGACAAGCTGTTACTTGGAGGGGCTGATAGCTGCTGAGCTCCTCTTCTCAGGATGGTCGGATGCCAAGAGCTAAAGAAGCCTGTGAAAGGCCATGCTCCACCTTGCCGAGAGAAAGTGGTCAAGCAAGGAGCTGCAAGGAGTAAATAGAGCTGTTAAAATGGCAGATTAGACACTGTTAATTGTGAAAACCCAACTGATAATCCACCAGGATGATCAGTTATGGGCAGTGAAATACGTACTTGAACCAATGTCTTGCCAAAAGACCTCTGCCCCCAACGAGTCTTAAGTGCTGTGCATCTACCTGGCATGTGTTGAGTTTTAAGTAGCGTGGAGTGTTGAGTAACGATGCTTGACCTACTCGATGAACTTCTGCAATGACGTGACTGGCCTGGTAGATGAGGCAAGAGCAGTGGATATTGTCTACCTGGACATCACTAAGGCCTTTCACACTGTCTCCCGTAAGATCCTCATAGAGAAGCTGTTGCTGTAGGGGCTGGATGAGCAGGCTGGATGAGGTGGGTTGAAAACTGACTGAATGGCTGGGCCCAGAGCATGGTGATCAGCAGTGCAAAGTCTGGTTGGAGGCCATTGACCAGTGGTGTGCCCCAGGGGTCAATACTGGGTCCAGTCCTGTTTGACATCTTCAGTAATGCTCTGGATGGTGGGGCAGAGTGTACCCCCAGCAAGTTTGCAGATCACACCAAAGTAGGAGGAGTGGCTGATATGCCAGAGGGTCATGCTGCCATCCAGAGGGACCTCGACAGGCTGGAAAAATGGACAGGAACATCATGAAGTTCAAAAAGGGGAAGTACAAAGTCCTGCACCTGGGGAGGAACAGTCCCATGCACCACTACATGCTGAGGGCCACCCAACTGGAAAGCAGGACCTGGCGGTCCTGGTGGACACCAAGTTGAACATGAGCCAGCAATGTGTCCTTCTGCAAAGAAGGCGAATGGTGTCCCTGGGCTGCATTAAGAGGAGTGTTGGCAGCAGGTTGAGGGAGGTGACCCTTCCCCCCTACTCAGCACTGGTGAGGCCAGACCTGCAGTGCTGCGTCCAGTTCTGGGCTTCCTAGTACAAGCGAAAGTCCAACTGGAGAGAATCCAGCAAAGGACCACTAAAATGATTAGGGTGCCAGAGCATCTCTCCTATGAGGAAAGACTGAGAGAGGTGGGACTTCAGCCGGGAGAAGAGAAGGCTCAAAGGGGGAATCTCATAGGTACCTGAAGGGTGGGTGCAAAGAGGACGGACCCAGGCTCTTCTCAGTGGTGCCCAATGACAGGACCAGAGGCAATGGGCAAAAATTAAACACCAGAGGTTCCCTCTGAACATCAGGAAACACTTGTTTACTGTGAGAGTGACCAAGCACTGGTGCAGGTTGCCCAGGATAGAATCTCCATCCTTGGAGATATTCAGAAGCCATCTGGACATGGTCCTGGGCAACCAGCTTTAGGAGGCCCTGCATGAGTGGGGGGGTGGACAAGATGACATCCAGAGGTCCCTTCCAACCTCAACCAGTCTGTGATTCTGTGATAAGCCATCTCTGCCATGGGATTGACTTCGTCCCAACACCAGTCATCCAGGAATGCTCTGGAACTGGGTCTGATCCACCCTACTGAACAGCTTCTAGCATAATCAAAACCTGCCCACCTGGAAGTGCTCCCAGCAGGAATTGCTTGAGGGTGTGACAGCTTCCAGAAAGTGTCGATGGGCTGTCTCCAACACCTGGAGTTTTTGTGTAAGCATGCGTGGCAGTAGCTTGTATTTTGCAAGAAGCTATGGCTTGATGTTAGGAAAGTGGGATCCTGAGATGCTGAGACTGGAGTAGATAGTGCTGAGGGGTGGTGGCATGTGTGCACCGCCTCTGCCTGGGGAAAGATGAAATTTCTGGACAATAGTTACAGAAGACATCCGCCAGGAGGTGACAACCAGCAGTTTCTAAGGACATCTTCATTGGCCTGATAATGCTTCTTGGAGCCCACAGGCAGGAGCTGAAGGATTTTCGCCCTGCCTGTTGTCGTCATTGCAGAGCTGCCCCTCTCATCTTTAATGCACTGCCAGCAGTTTGTCTGGTAGCCACAACTCAGGAAAACAAGTTCCCATCCTGCCAGCCTTGAGAGTGGGTGACAGGGTAATCCAAGTATTTGGATTACTATCCTTACCTAGCTGCGTAGGTGAGAGAAGTTCCAAAGGACTGCTGATAGAATCACTGTGGTATGGGGGACACCACAACCTGACACTTTGGCATAGGTGTTTAGCAGCAGATTGATGTAAAGTGCCTTATGTGGAGCTCTTTGCACCTAAGGGACAGGGTTTACCTGCTGAGGGTGTTGATACTCATCAATCTTCAATGGGAGCTCCAAGTTGACCTCAAGGCTAAATTTAATAGGCACTCCTTGGAGAGAAGTTGGAGCCCCGTCTCCCCTTGCCATGTGAGTTGTGGGGCAGTCGTGGAGGAGAACAGGTGTTCAGTCTGGGGCTTCCTCATTTTTTTTAAAAAAAGATTGACCATATAACTGACCCTTCAACATGTAAGAGTTTAGAGCTGTGAATTCTGATTTGGTGGGAGGTTTTCTCTTCTTGGCACTGTTTCCCTGGGAAGAAGCGTCAGGAGGTTATGTCCCCCTTCTCAGTACCTCCTACGGAGAGTACCAGTTGGCACCTTGCTCTGCACCCCGCCTGCTGTGGATCACCTCCGATACCCCCTCTCTCCATGCACCACGCTGATGGCTCAGGCAGCAGTTCAGAGCTGGCCATTCTCTTTGGGCATCAGGTGCCTAGGATATAGATGTGTCAAAGCTGAAGTCCACTGTGGTCCTAGGGCTTGGGGCATCTCTGGCTTTTCATTCAGCTCAGGGGCATGGGAGGTCCTGAATGGAATTCAGTTGTAGCTGCTGTCTTTTAAAAGACCTGCTGGACTGCACGGTTGTACATCTGCCAGGGGGCTGGGCAGTGGTTTGTCACTACAATTTACTTGTTTATTCATGAAAAGGAGATTTCTCAAACCTCATAAATGTTTGGCCTACAACCAAATGGTCTGTATGTTAAATGTGCTTGGGAATGGTTTATTGTACTGGATGGTTATCTGGATTCTCACTGCCAGCTTAATTTGCAAGAGAGTTCAGTAGAATTTTTTAAATGTTCATTTTCTTGCGAAGCTGTGGCCTGGTAAAAGCAGGTAGGAAGGTAGTCATAGAAGAGTATTAAGACAGTCAAAGATCTGAGACCAAAAGAGAAATATCAAGAATTAAGACAGAATCTTTGGCAGTAATTTTATAGAAAATATGATTATTAAACTGGAGCACGATGGATAGTGAAAGCACCTAAAGAAGAACAGTACATTGCAATGGAAAAAGCTCTGTGCTCACTGGTGAACATGCCGTGTGGACTGCTTGCAAAGAAAGCAAGAGTGCTGCAAGAAAGGGCTGCATAACTTGGGTGAGAACTCTTGGATGTATGACATGTTTCTGCTTTGGGGCCAAGCACCTGCCTGAAGTATGTGCCGGTGGCAGGCAGCCCTGGATGAGGGCAGGGCACGATAATGCTCTGATTAGGAGCTGTGGCATGGCAGCCTTACTGGAAAGGACCTCGGAGGGGTGGCGGACACCAAACTGAACACGAGCCAACAATGTGCTCTCACTGCAAAGGTGGAGAACCACAGTCTGGGCTACAGGAGCAGACAGGTGGCTGCCTGGTCTCAGTTAGTTATCACCCCCACTGTTTGGTGCAAGGGAGGCCGCATCTGGATGCTAGGTCCAGTTTTGGTCTGCCTGGTGTGAGGGATGTGGTGATACCGGTGATGACCCATA